AATTTTGTCTAACACATAGGAAAATTCGTTTTGCAGCCAACTTTAACACTTAATAAGGTTTTGCATATTCCAAACTTTGAGTTCAACTTACTTTCAGTAAATAAACTTTCAGAGTCCACACTCATCAAGTTTTTTTTTTTTTTTTTTTATCCTACTCACTGTCTCTTACAAGACTTACAGACTGAAGTAGTATTGGCAGTTGCCAAGTTAGTGGAAAGATTATACATTGTAGATAAATCCTTTTTTGCAACAGAAACCATTAAAACATTTTCTTCACAGTTTGTATCTAGGTCTGAATTACCTACTACTACACATGCTTGTAACACTATCTGTTTTGTCACTAATAGTGTTTCAACATTGACTTTGTGGCATCAAAGATTAGGCCATCCATCACATGATATTCTTAATAAAACTTTTGTTATCAAGCATTTTGATTTTGCTACTTTTATTTGTGATGTTTGTCCTTTGTGGAAATAACATCGATTATCTTTCCATCCTAGCACAAATTCTCACACAGCTTTTGAATTGATTCATATCGACATTTAAGGACCCTATAAAGTAGCTACACTTATAGGGGCACATTATTTTTTGACTGTAGTTGATGATTTTAATAGAGCTACTTGGACTTTTCTTTTAAATCATAAGAGTCAAGTAGTTCATATATTGACCATATTTTTTAGAATGATTAAAAATCAGTTCTCCATGTCTATTGAAAAAATCCAAATTGGTAATGGAACTGAGTTTCTTAGCAAAGATTTTCAGATTCTTTTCCTTGAACATGACATTTTACATCAAAGATCATGCACTCATACACCATAGCAGAATAGATTAGTTGAAAGGAAACATAAACATTTGCTTCAAGTAGCTTGATCCCTTATGTTTCAATCAGCTTTATCTAAGTATTTTTTTTGGGGAAGCCATACTCATAGCTACTTATATCATTAACAGGTTGCCCACTCCTGTTTGCAAATGGAAAACCCCAAATGAAATACTTTTCCATAAACCTCAAGATTATTTTTTCCTCAGAACCTTTGGACGTTTATGTTTTGCTACTAACACACATCCACATAAAGATAAGTTTGCCTCTATAACTTATGCGTTTCCTAGGATATGGTCACAAAGCTTGTAAAATGTTTGATATTCATTCTAAAAAAGTGTTTTTGTCTAGGGACATTAGTTTTCATCAGCATTCTTTTCCTTTTAAACAGAGTAGTCCTACTTCAACAACTGTGTCTTTATCTTAGATTCCTGTTATTGAAAATCATCAATATACTCCTCTTACTGCTTTTCCTAGTCATACAATATTACCTTCTTCCCTTTTATCACCTTTATCACCTAATTCTTTTCCTATAGAGTCTTCACCCTTACCAATTATACCTCTTCCTATATGATACGGTACCAGGATATCCAAATGCCTTGCTTGGTTAGAGGATTTTGTCTCTAATGTTCTTACTTGTTCATTGACTTACATTGCCACTGCTGCTTAGCCTGCTGTTTCTTCACCACATACACCTCCTACATTTCCATATGTGCAGTCACCTCTTTTTACTTCATCATATATGTCCTTCTTGGCAAATGTATCTAGTGTCCAAGAGCCTGCTTCTTATAGTCAAGCTTGACCTAATGATCAGTGGGTACAAGCCATGCAACATGAGCTTAACGCTTTAGAAGCTAATCATACGTGGGAGTTAACATCTTTACGTGTAGGAAAGAAAGCCATTGGTTCACGATGGGTTTATAAGATCAAGCGTAATTCAGATGGTTCAGTTGACAGGTATAAAGCCTAATTAGTTGCCAAGGTTACAATCAAGTTGAAGGTGTTGACTATTTTGATAGTTTTTCTCCTGTGGCAAAATTAGTTACTGTACGAATTTTTCTTACGATGGTACTGCTAAATTCTGGCATTTTCATCAGCTTGACATTAATAATGCATTTTTACATGGTTATCTTGATGAAGAAGTGTATATGTTACCACCTGATGGTTATGATAAAGCTGGACCAGATCAAATTTGTCATTTGAAACGATCTTTATATGGTCTAAAACAAGCTTCCAGACAATAGAATAATGAGTTTACTTCTCAGCTACTTACTTATGGTTTACTCAATCTACTCATGATACTTGTTTGTTTATTAAGTCTACTACTTCTTCTTTTCTTGCTCTTTTAGTATATGTTGACGATGTCATCATTACTGGTTCTTCTGAAACTGACATTCTTGTTGTTAAGAAGTTTCTTCATGCTCAGTTTACTATTAAAGATCTTGGATATGCTTAGTATTTTCTTGGTCTTGAGATTGCTCGGTCCTCGCAGGGTACTTACATCTATCAGAGGAAGTATGCTTTGGATATTCTTATAGATGGAGGCCTTTTTGGTGCCAAACTTGCTGCTACTCCTTTACCTAAAGGATTCAAGTTTTGTTCTACTGAAGATACTTATTTGCTAATCCTGATCAATATCGCAGGTTAGTTGGTAGACTCCTTTATCTTGGTTTCACTCGACTTGATCTTGTTTATGTTGTTCAGCAACTCAGCTAATATGTTCAATGTCCTTGTACTCATCATTGGGAAGCTGTTGTTCATGTTCTTCATTACTTGAAGGAGGCATTTTGTGATGTAGATTGGGCTTCTTGTCCAACTAGTAGGAAGTCTTTAATTAACTGGTTATTGTGTCTATCTTGGTTTTTCCTTAATTTCTCGGAAAACCAAGAAATAGACTACTATCTCTAGATCCCCTACTGAAGCTGAGTATCGCAGTCTCACCTCTATTGTTTGTGAATTGCAATGGATTCCCTATGTTCTTCAGGACTTTCATATTCATCTTCACATTCCTATTCCTCTTTGGTGTGACTATCAAGGTGCTCTTCATATCACTACCAACCTTGTCTTTCATGAGCGCACCAAACATCTTAAAATAGATTGTCATTTGGTTCGCAATCAATATAAGGCTGGTTTTGTCCATCCTCAACATATCTCTTCTAAGCTGCAAGTTGCCAACATTTTTACCAAGTCCTTAGTTGGTCGTTTGTTTCATTAGTTTACTTCCAAGTTGGTCTTGCTGGATTTCCATCAAGTTCCAGGATGTACAGAATAAAATAAATTATTTTATTTTATTGCTCAGTTGGTTACGTTAGGTAGTTGCTGAACTGTAAAGTAGTTAGTTGGTTATATTAGTTTTGATTAGCTGTCAAGAGTCCAAATAGCTATGTAGCTACAGTTCTTTGTATAAGTACAACATTTACTTTACCCAGAATGATAAGAGAATACTACTTTACCAAAATTGCTTTAACTTTGTAAAACGTTGCATTACTTTGTTCAGATACCTTCCTTGAGGTGGTAAATTCGGGATTGTATGGATTTCCATTGACCAAAAACTGCATTAGGAATAGGAGAAAATGATCTGGAAACTTGGTCAATATGTTGACAATAGTACTGTGTACCTTTCATCAGTGAAATAAAACATGTGCCAACTATCATCCTTGAATATATTATCCAACAAAGCAATTAGATACTGCTTTAGAAGGTTTTGGTAAGTAATTATTTTATTTAATTAATTATCCAACTGCATTCAATATTTACATGACTGGAAAATATTGTTATGTATTCTGAAAGCTCCTGTCTGATGCTTGATAATAATAAAAACATCTTATTGGATTAACTAATTATAATTAAAACAATTAAAAAGTATTGATTCCTTTCTAACTTCAAAATTACATTTCTCTTCAAGGCCAAGAAGTATAAATAAAAAAGACGATAAGAGGATAATTCATTAAATAAAAAAAAGTTAGATAGTAGAGCATTGCCTTTCACTTTCAGTTAATAATTCAATACAAAAATACATCTTGATGAAAATTTTAAATTATTGCACTTATAATGGTGGGACTATATTGGAATGATGGAATCTTTTACGTAATAAATGTATCAAAACTTCTTGTAATACAACTACTAACCATTACCAAAAGGAAAAGTGTAACATCCTGACATTTCTAAGTTAAACTATTTTTATAAAAATAATTATCTATATATCTGAAAATCCATATTAATAATTATACTAATGAACCTGTTTAATTATATGCCTAATTTGGGAAACAAATCTCATATCTTCTCATAATTTAAGAGTCAATTACTACCTTTTTGGCTCAAGGAAATTTGCCCATTATTTTCCGTTCAGTTCAAACACTAAATTTCCATTTCTCTCTTTTTAAAATTTTTTTTTTTTCATTTAAATATATAATGGTTCCCATTCTATCCATATACGTTGTTTAATTATTATTTTAAATTAAAAAAGGGACTGTTCACACTTTAAGTGGGGATAAATAGCATCATTAGAACCAAAATATAATTAAATCCATCTTTAAAAAATAAACTAGCGTGGACCTTAAACAAATTAACAGCGCTTCACAAAGCTAATGCAAGCGCAGTAGGTCATGCGATGTTAACTACCAACAAAATCCTGAAGGCAAAATTTATCCTTATCCTTTCTTTTGTGACTGTGACGAGAAGACCTGACGTGGTTGCCCATTATAATTCTATATAAATTTCATGTCCATTGAATTAATTATCTTATCAAAAGGTTAATTCACACTAATTTCAAATCTTTTATTTTTAGAACCTGATCCTATCTTTCCACGCATATCTTCTTATTAAAGTCCTCTACTTTAAACTGTAATGTGATGGTATTTTAGAACCAAAAGGAACAACCTTGACAATTGTTTGTTTCCTCACAAATGCCACCAAAACTTTTACTGTAATGTGGGTTCAGATGGTTCACACTAACCCAACACAGAGTCCTTAAAATTTATTTCTTTAGTAGTCGTGAATCTTGAGTTGTAGAATTCGCCATTCAAAAAGTGCTAAATTATTGGAGGAGTCATCATACTGCATGACCAAATTAAAACTACTTTTGATTTTTTTTTGCTTTCTTACTTGTCTTCTTGTTAGTAAACCTGTTAGAATAGTTACAGAAGTGATCTACATTTTCTGGTCTATTTATAATCATCTCAGTTCTTCCAATTAATTACGGAAACACAAAATGGGTTGGTTAACTTTGTCTTGTCAATTAATTTTCTGTCTTCAGTTGTTGCTTTTGTATTCTCAAACTTCCGCAAAACTTTGCTCTCAGGATCAAAGTTTTGCACTACTACACTTCAAGCAACTCTTTTCCATCGAAAACAGTCGTTCTTCTTCCATCTGTGATGAGTACAAGACGCAGTCTTATCCAAAAATTCACTCATGGAAGGAGGATAGTGATTGCTGCTCGTGGGACGGAGTTGCATGTGACACAGAGACCGGTCATGTGATTGGCCTCGACCTCAGTTGTAGCTGGCTTCTTGGCGACATTCCTTCCAACAGCACTCTTTTTCACCTTTCTCACTTGCAAAGCCTAAACCTTTCTTATAATGATTTCAATTACTCCAAGATTTCCCCTGGTTTTAGTCAATTCCCTGATTTGACAGTCCTTAGACTTTCCTCCTCCAACTTTTCTGGCCAACTTCCATCAGAAATCTCCCGTTTGTCTAAATTAGTTTCGCTTGACCTTTCTAACAACCCTCAGGTGAGTCTTGGAACCCTTTCTTTGGAAGGGCTGGTTCACAATCTGACCAAGTTGGAGGAAATTTCACTTAATTACATAGACATGTCTACCACACTACCTTCTTCGTTGACCAATCTATCTTCTTCTTTGACATACATGAGTCTCATTGATTGTAGATTGCAAGGCTACTTTCCTGATAGTATCCTTCGCTTACCGAATCTACAAATCCTCTATTTACAGTTGAACCGCAACTTAACAGGCATCTTTCCGAATGTTAACTGGACCAGTCCCATTGAGATTTTGGACGTATCCATCACGAGTTTTTCAGGAGAATTACCCAACTCAATCGGCGATTTGATGTCGTTGAGGTACTTGAGTCTCTTTCGTTGCAAATTTGTTGGGTTAATTCCCCCATCACTTGGTAACCTTACACGACTTAACTTTTTGAGTCTTCCGGAAAACCATTTTTATGGCCACATCCCATATTCTCTTTCAAAGCTTGGGCAGCTCGATACTATGGATCTTTCATCCAACAATTTCACTGGTGAAATTCCATCTGATATTTTTGTCAACCTTACTCAACTTTCTTTTTCGTCTTTCCAAAGTAATAAACTACTTGGTCCAATCCCCTCTCATGCTAATAGACTTCAAAAGTTAGCTCATATTTCTTTCTTTGATAACATGCTCAACGGGTCTCTACCATCTTGGCTATTCAGTCTGCCACGGCCCACGGGTGGAATATATAGACCTTGGTTACAATCAACTAACCGGGCACATCGTTCAATTCCAAAGCCATTTCTTAAGTTTCTTTTTTTGGATCAAAATAGGTTTCATGGTTCAATTCCAGTTCTACCACATGACTTGAGATCCTTTTTGATCTCGAACAATAATTTGACCGGAGAGATATCTCATTTGATATGCAATATGAGCTCAATTGCAATTCTTGATCTTTATAATAACAGCTTGAGTGGCACCATTCCAAAATGCTTGGGAAACTTCAACAGTAGTCTTCAAGTGTTGGATCTGCAAAATAATATAATTTATGGAAGAATTCCTGATACATTTTCAAAAGACAATCATTTGAGGAAACTTTCCATCAACAACAATTGGCTGGAAGGGTCTGTCCCACGATCTTTGGTGAATTGTACGAGGCTTGAAGTTTTCAACATTGGAAACAACAACATAAAGGATACCTTCCCATATTTGTTGAGAAGTCTTCCAGAGTTGCAGGTTCTTGTTCTTCGTTCCAATAAATTTCACGGATTTATTCGAGTTTCTTCCGGCAAGGCCAATCATTCATTTGGTAAGTTAAGATTCTTTGATATTTCGAATAATAATTTTAGTGGTCCTTTGCCTGCAAAGTATTTTGAAAATATGAAAGCTATGATGAATGTTGGTAAAGCTGGAAAGAAGTTGCGATACTTGGGTGATGGGTACTATCAAGTTTCTGTGATAGTAACTCTAAAAGGGTCCGATTTTGAAATGATGAAAATTCTCAATCGGTTTACTATGATTGATTTTTCAAACAATAACTTCCATGGAGAGATTCCAAAACTAATCGGAAATCTTCATGCACTTGAGCTTCTCAACCTTTCTCTCAATAGTTTAACTCGTCATATCCCATCATCTTTCGGGAAATTGACAGCTCTTGAGTCATTAGACCTTTCTTCAAACAAGTTCGTCGGAGAAATTCCACGTCAGTTGACAAATTTGAACTTTCTTGAAGTTTTAAACTTGTCACATAACCATCTTACAGGTCCCATACCTCAAAATAATCAATTTAACACATTCCCAAATAATTCGTATAGTGGAAATTTGGGATTGTGTGGATTTCCATTGTCAAAGAAATGTGGTGATGACAGTGTGCCACAGCTCTTAGCATCAGAAAAAAATGACGTAGAGCCTGAAAATGGATTTGCTTGGCGAGTGGTGTTAATAGGGTATGGATGTGGGGTGGTGTTTGGATTAATTATGGGATCTTTTGTATTCGCAACTGGGAAGCCTCAATGGCTGGTTGTCATGATTGAAGGAAAACGTTATAGAAAGCTGCGAAGGTCCAATAACAATCGAGGAGGAAGAAGAAGGTAGTGCATGCATGCAAGAGGTCTGTTGGGTAAGTGTTGTAACAGATTTTGTATAATAAATAGTGTGGTGCTTGTTATTTTTCTGCCTTGTATCTCTTTAATGCAGTAATAGAATATCTCGCTACCATATATCTTTTGAATAATACCAATATGTCGACTAACTATACTTCCCCGTGCACTAAATTGAAGGATTAATTCATGCGGTGCATGGGTTGTATGCATGGATTAATTGATACTATGATGAAGACGATATAAATTGACTAATAGTACCCCCGGATAAATAATAATAATTTGGATTTTGGACTTAATACATCATTTACGACATTATTATATATTTCTTTTTAAAAATTGTGAATCAAAATTATGGTACTTGTTAAAAACTAATTCGTAAATTTGAAATAATATAATATTATCTAAGTAATTTTAGGAATAATAAATTAATACATTTAATCTGACTATAGTTATATCATAAAATCAATTTGTGTTTATCAAAACATTTGATCATAATAATTCCATTCTTGCAAACGTAAACTAGCTTAAACTTGAAACCAATAATCATAAAAAATAAAAAATAAAAACTACGGATCCCTGAATAAGCGTCACAGCCGGCAGACAAGGGTGGGCCCAACACAGTGTTACAGTTATCGTCTTTTTATAAACAGACGGATCAGATCACTCCTTCAAACACCAACGGCTGCGATGCATCCTTCTTCCTTTTAAACCAACACTTTTTCGCGCTCTTTAGTTCTTAAACTATTGCTCTATCAATCTCCCTCTAAAACCCTCCAAGAATCTTGAAATTGAAAGCGCCAATCTCAAATTAAGTAGTAATTATCCTCACGTTATCACAATTTCTTGATTTTCTTTTAACAACAACGCAATTCATCTATAACTGAAACCCTTTTTATTTTCTCTAATTTTGCAGAGAATTCTGGTTCTGGTTAGGGTTTGGCCCGAAATGTCGACGCGAAATCGTTACCAGTCAGTTTCTTCGTCGTCATCATCATCATCAATGGCCAGAAGGCTTCCATCTACAACGGAAGATTCCATCAAGAAAATTACTATATCGAAGCCGCAATTGGCCAAGAAGCGACCGGCTCTCAGTGATATTACGAACCAGAAAAATGGGTCTAAAGTCGGGTCGCGGGTCTTGGGGACCCTTCCTCCTAAGTCCATTGTGCGTAGTTTCTTTTTCTTTTTTTCTGGTTTGTGTATGTTTTTAATACTGGTCGATACTGGATTTACTTGTTTCGGATTAATTTTGCAAATCATTTTTTACTTGGTATTTTTTTTATTTTTTGGGTATTGTTTTGTTTATGTTAATCCTCATCTATTTCCTTGTAATTGTTAATTGTCTTTGTAAAGACAGATTAATTTATAAGGAATTGATAATCTTTTCAGATCATTTACTTGCTATAATTTGATCAATTTTATGGTGTTAAATATTGACACTTACGGTCGAATCAGTTGCATATTTTCCACATTAATAACATCTATGTTATTCTCTAGCTACTTTGTTCTTGATATATTTAATTATTTTGCCCATGAAGTATGAACAGTTGCATGTTTTGAAAATTATTTTGTGATTTATGACTGTCATGTTGTCATGAGGACATTGTAGATTTATTATTATGTCAATCTTTTCATAGAAAACTTGAACGTGTGCTTTGAGATGATATCTACCTTGTTTTCAAAGGATTAGGTTTCAATATGGCGCCCAAATGCCCCTAAATCATTGTGATAGTAATCATTCTGAGTGTTCAGAAGCTATTTTTTTTTTTAACTCACTCTTACTTTCAGTTCTGCATTTATTGATTTTGAACAATAATTGATCATTTTTTATAATTCAACCTAAAGGTGCCATGTTCAGCTAAGATTGCCAAGAAAAAGGAATCTTCTGCTCATGCTTATGATAAAGGGCTCTCTGGAAATACTTTGCCTGCAACCTCAAGTGTATCTTGTAATGATATATTTTCCCCCAGTAGTGATCAACCTACTTTTAGAGCCTTCTCTTCTCCAAATAGCAGTTTCATTATCCTTCCTGCTCCTGATAGTGCAGTTCTGGTACCCCGAAGCACAGATGTTTCTCCAAGCAAATCAGTTGTTGGTTCTGTTTCTTTGGATGAGACCATGTCTACTTGCGATTCATTGAGGAGTCCAGAATTTGAATATATAGATAATGAAGGTGATTCAACAATTAAATCCATTGAGATGAGGACTCATAGCTCTCTCAACATTTCAGATCATGCTGAAAGAGAAGGTTTTTTCTTTGAAAGAATTTGATTGCTATTAATCTAATTTATTTTTCTGTTGGGCTTCTTCATGTGTTCAATTCCTATCCCATGTGTGTTGCCAATGTGGGCTTTGATACTGTAGTTATTTCTCATATATTGCAATTGCAGATTGATAGAATTTTACTTTTATGGCCATCCTAATGCTGTTTTGGCTCTATGGATCGTAGGGATGTCTTGCAAGAGAGATATACTAGTGGAGATTGAATCGGTTGGTGATTTTGATGATATTGATTACAATGTCAAGGATCCCCAATTTTGTGCAACCATTGCTTCTGACATTTATAAGCATTTGCATGCATCTGAGGTTTGGCATCCTTATGATATTTAAATTGTACTTGCCTTTTGATTAACTTACCAAAAATGCTTAGTTGTTTTTCTTTTACTGGTCGGTTGAGTTTTCTGGCTTTTGCGATTTACTAATGTTAAAGTTCAGTAAATTCCCAATGGACCCATAAATGCTATTGTTCATTTATTTATTTATCTTCTAATTCTGTTTAAGGTTGGAATATGACACAGTTTTATATAATGTTTGAAAAACCGGTTTCAAGAGTAAGAAGGTTATATTAATATATTTCCATTAATTGTGATTTCCTGAGGTTAAGAATGTTATTAATGTTTTGGTAATTCTCTATCAATCATACTGCCATGTCAGTTTATAGCACAAACATAAGTGGTAATACTGGTTTTTTTAATTATGTAGTTTTTTGCAGTATGATAAGCATTCTCCAATAATAGATAGTTGGAATGGGAAATTGTCTTTGAGAAATATGGTCTGAAGTTATGTAATGTTCATCATTTTCTGCATCTAAGTTATTAAATTTCGAATTTTCAGGCAAAGAAACGGCCTTCAACGGATTTCTTGGAAAGGGTTCAGAAAGACATGAATGCCAGCATGCGTGCAATATTGATTGATTGGCTAGTGGAGGTAAATTGTTGTGGGCAATGATATTGGCAGGGCATTCATGACCCACTTCTCTGTTTCATGGTTGCATTTTTTAGGACAACTGCTTATTATGTTGATACCTGGGTTTTCTCTTGCATTATAAAATTTCTCTTTCTCTTATGAGATTTTTTATCCTGAACTTCAAATTTTTAATTGCAGGTTGCTGAAGAGTACAAACTTGTACCTGAGACTCTATTTTTGACAGTCAACTATGTAGATCGTTATCTTTCTGGCAATGTAATAAACCGGCAGAAGTTACAACTGCTTGGTGTTTCCTGCTTGATGATTGCAGCGTAAGTTTACGTACATTTTCTTGTTTCATATAACTTAGCAATCTCTATGTGCAAGTGCGTAAATATATATTATGATAAGACTATCGATAATAACTGAAAGTAATAATATTTGCAGAAAATATGAGGAAATATGTGCTCCCCAGGTGGAAGAATTCTGTTATGTTACTGATCATACATACTCCAAAGAGGAGGTTAGGATTCTATTTTCCAAAGTCTAGATTCTTATTTATATAGCTTTATTCCTCCTCACTTCAGAAGTGTTATGCAATATCCTTTGCTGCAGGTTCTCCAAATGGAATCTGCGGTACTGAATTACTTGAAGTTTGAAATGACAGTCCCTACAGCTAAATGTTTTCTGAGGTAAAGTTCATCTTTTATGTTCCTATTGAAATATTAAATGCTTTTCTTTTATACATCTGTGGAATTGACCTGCAATTTACAACAAATGTTCAGGCGCTTTGTCCATGCTGCTCAAGGAAGTAATGAGGTACCCTTTATTGGAATAGATTGTTTTAGAATTGCATTATCTTGTCTTCCCCCACTTATTTTCATTTCTTTTTCACTAAATGCATTAAAACACAGTGTGAATAATTACTTGTATCAGCTGTGGCGGATCCAGCCACTTTTTGGGTGGGCCATGAATTTTTTTTTTTAATATTAATATGTATAATTTATATATTTTGGCCCACCCTAACAAAAATATTAATGGGCAAAAATATTAATGTATAATTAATTTTTACTTTGGTCCACTCTAGCAGAAATTTTTGGATCCGTCCGCACCAGTAAACATTCTTGTTGTTGATGCCATCATGCTTTTGTTATCAACTTCCATATGTTACCACCCTTATATTTGTTTTTCCAATAATGGCTGTTGTTGGAACATTGTTTTTCAATGGTTTTAATATTTGCTTGCCTTTTGTAGGTCTCATCACTGCAGTTGGAGTGCTTGGCCAACTACATAGTGGAATTATCCCTTTTGGAATATAAGATGCTTTCATATGCCCCCTCAGTAGTAGCTGCATCAGCTACTTTCTTGGCCAATTTTATTATTTTTCCATCCAAGAAACCTTGGGTATGCATGAAAAATTATTAGTTTGATTTTGCCTGTTGCTAAGAGATCTCTATCTTCCCCGTTATTTTCAGCTAAAACATAGTAAAATTTTGCATTTCTTGTGATGCAGAATTCTACCCTGGGGCATTACACACTTTACCAACCCCCAGATTTGTGTGACTGTGTCAAGGCACTGCATCGTCTCTTTTGTAAGGGTGGTCACCCTAATTTGACTGCAATCAGGGAGAAGTACAGTCAGCATAAGGTGAGTTGAACCTCTCTTTTGAGGATAGGATGACTAACACAACTTTTATATACTTCTTTTCCGTTCGCACAACTTCCATGAACTTCTTTCCGTTCCACTTCNCAACTAATGAAAAAACGGGATGAATTTGCATGGTACTAACCCACTTATAGACGTGTAATCATTACCTTGAGTTCAGTGGGGTATAAATAGGTAGCTCTCCTTCACAAAACCGGGATTAGACATTCTAAATCCAACAAAAAAATATAACAAAAACACATTATGGGAAAGAGACTGTCTTAATATTCTTTAAGAACACTTAGAATATCAATTACATGTAACCCATATCGCAGTTCATAACCTCTTGTAATCTTGGCTAATAACCAAAAACACACTCATATAAAAGAAAACAGTGAATATAGGATTCGCTTTAAGCATCTGAACCACTATAAAAATATTTACTGTCTTATTTACTTTTACGTCTTTGCATATGTGAAAATAGTACCCCACCTATCCAACTCTCATAATTAATTATCTCACATGTAACTTCTTAGCATTTTACTACGTGCAAAGTTATTGATGTCAAAATCAAACATCAACACCGTGAAACACGTTTTGGATAATTTATAAGAATCTGCCTTTGATTAAGAAAAATAATCATACCAGAGCCATTAAAGCGCAGATTGCTATTTTCAGGGAAAAGATAAAGAAATTTTATTCAAAAAGATATTAAATTCTCCTTTTGTTTTCATATATAGCTAGTTCTCTTTTTTAATGCTAAACAAACTTAATTAAAAAATTTAATATCAGTTTTAAGGACAGGGATAACGATTCAATTTATTAATTAAAACGATGATTGTTACTATCAAAGTGAATATCAGCAAACGGGGATTGCCAGTGCCACTTTCACAAGATAAAAGATCAAAAGCCAGAACTTTGGTTTTAAAAACTCCAGGATGTTCACACTTGAAAATTATATAAATTCATGTAAAAAAAAAAAAAAACACAAGAAAAGATGAGTATTATTATTATATATACAAAACTCATCTTCATCAGTCTTACAAAGATAAACTCGTAGAAAATTAATGTTTTAGTTGCATACCGGAGGTGAATTTTGAATGCATTGCCATGTTCCGTATTCCAGTATTGCAGGAGCGGCCTTCTGATATTCTGTTTTTCTCAGAACAGTGCGGTCGTTTACGTAATTTGTCATGACCCAATTTTGGTCAAGAATGTAGGCAGATTTGCAATTCTGGGAGATCTTTGAATAAAGCTTTGATACGATTCCATAATCAAACGTAGTATTTGAAGGAACGGGGCATATGAAATCATAGCAACCTTCTGTGTTTCCTTTTAGAGGATCACAAGCAGAAATTGTCAGACACCCACCAGTTGTTGAACCACTCTCATCAGTTTTGTCGATCTTCGCATACTTTTTACAACCAGTGGCAATAAAGCTATTGTGCTTATTTGTAAAGAAAAATGGTGAGTCTGTAAGGTTAATACCTGTAGAGGTGTTTTTTAAAGAAATTGCAGGCATTTCGACGCCTATCCCGAAGCTCATAGCAGCGGTGTCTTCTGCTAGTTTCAGCTTCATCTTCGTCAAGAAAGGTTGTCCAGAGGGAGTAGAAGAGCTGTTGCAGGTTATTTCAAACCATTCATTGAAGAAGCAGCCTGCTCCAATTCCGAAGGGATAGTTTATTTGGACTTTACCACAACTCGTTGGACATGAAGCTTCTGATGCTTTGAAATTGATTGTCCAGAGTAACAAACTGATTATGATCTGCAACAACAACAAATGAGGATGATTAATGGCCATAATTAATTACTTTTGGCAGCCCCTCCTTTTCTTTGAGAATTGATATCGTGGAGATTCAACATAAACGATCGCTACATATAGAAATGGAAGAGTATGTAGACCACCCTTGAGGTTTTTCAACTTATTGTTTGGATGATAATTTTAACACTATTTACTAATGAAACCTTAAAGTTTGAAGAATGTATCTCTGATACCCCTTTATCTTGTCAAGTGGGCCCTCAAATTTTAAAAAACTTTATCAATGATACCCTTTTGCTCTGATTTCGTTACATTATAATTTGGTTTACAAAACACTTTCTTATAAGCTCAAAATTATATATAATATATATCTGTATTAAGTTCAATGTTTTAAAAAATAAAAATAAAGAATGTATTAATTTATACAATTAAATAATATATTGATAATTTAAAAAATTTCTATGGTTTAAAGGATATTAATTTATCCTATCTTAATTGTATATTAAAATGATAAACCTAGATTATAATTGACCAATAATTAAGGGTGGATTAAATCATTTTCTCTATAGAAATTTCAAATTCGTATTTTGATGCTCACATCACATCAAATGCATGGGGCCGTTCCACCATTAAAGTATGTGGGTCTCTGAATCCGGTCTCGACTCTTGAGAAGAAAAATAAACAAAGTAACAAATGCATGGGGCCGTTCCACCATTGAATAGATGATTTCATCCAAGTGATGTCATCCTTGTGACGTATGAATGGTTCTTGTGGACAAAGTTGAAAAAGACTGAACCATTGTCGGAGGCACTGTTTGCTTTTTCTTAGAAATTTCTGTTACTTTAGGGTTTTTTTAAGAATTTTGTGTATATGTATTTTTTATAATATTAAAAATGACTTGAAAAGATAAAAAATAAAAACATAGTATATTTTTCTGAAAATAAAATTTCAAAATGTGAAAAATAAAAATACATTCGACATACTTGTCTGAATATAAAGAAAAAAAATAAAATCTATCACTTATTTTATCCCTATCAAATAATTTATCTTAAATACACAAGTGTTTAATTTCTATTAGTAATTCCTTGTTGAACCGAAAGTTTTTACTTTAAGAGGGAAAAGAGTAAAATATAATATAAAAAAGAGAATATAACTTTTAATTGGAAAAAGTGTCATGAACTTTCTCTCTCTTCTGTCTTTCTTCCGATGTTTTTGGGTTGGATGTATTGAGCATTGTTTTTTACAATCTCAACAGGATAAGCCCGTGCTTGTTTAGGAACTCATATGGTGGGCTATGTTTGTTTCTGAAAAGTAATTATTGACTCTAACACAGTTTAATGGTCTAACTTTGATATCATAATAAAATTTGAGAAAGGTCTAATTCTTTATCCAATAAAATCTTATTAAATAAGAGAATTATCTCCTTTTATAAATCAGTAAATTTGAGCATGCTTAATCCGTGGTAGATCTGGCTGAAAAAGGTCATATCGACGTTATACCCGTCAGATCCGACCGATATGTATAATTATGTAATTTTTTTGCCAGATTCTGGTAGTGGTGGTCGGAATCTGGCACTGTGGATGATAGGGGTGTTTTTATGATTTTATAATTTTTTGCTATATTGGGGTGTTTATTAAATTAGTAAACCTAGGGGGTTTTTTTATAAATTTTTAAATTTTACCTCGTAATACTCTCCTATTCAACTACCCAATATTATTCTCAAAATACTATCGAAAATAATAAAACAAACGGACCCTTTTTATCAATTTACCCATCTAACACTAACGCAACATAACAAAGTTAGGGTAAAGGGGTATCAGTGATATAGTTTTCAAAATTTAAAGGTCCATGTGATTAAAAAAAAAAAAAAATTATCATTCAATTATAAATGTTCTCTTTATAGAAATAAATATTCTTAATATTGCTCAAATAACACATCCGTGGGTAGCCTAGACGGTTAGGGCGAATTGAGGATAGTGCAGATAGACACACAGTCTCAGGCTTGATTCCCCATTTGAGCATTCGCGATTTAAGTGGAAGGTCATGACGGTGGGTTGCTCCGTTAGTCTCTCACGAGGATTAGTCCAGGTGCTCGTAAGCTAGCTTGGACACCTTGGTTAAAAATAAATAAATAAATAATGCTCAAATAACAATACTGCGTCCACAATCAAGGGTACGTGAGTCTTTGGAAAAATACAATAATCATCAGGGCCCTTTAATAAAAAGAGTGAAACACAAATATTTGTTTAACAGAAACTAAAATGTATTTGTATAAAAGCTTCTATCTTTATTAGGTATGAACCTAACTTAATTTAGGTACATTTTATCATACACTTAGATTTTTATAAGTGTTAGTCGACAATTATTTTATTTTCTTTGGGCATGTTAATTTATGTTAATCGGATTTGAGGTGCATGAGACATTAACTAAAGGTTAATGCATTACATACTCTAATACAAACGATTTCTTGTTAAATAAAAACTAAATAGATATTCCTGTTGTACAAAGGTCACTAAGGCAAAAGGGTGTTATCTATAAGCAACTTCGAAACTATTGAAAGGGTGATATGATCCTTGTGATGTATCAATTGATCGTGTGAAGGTGTCTTGATTCTCCATTGGAAGACACCTGGAGGCTTCAAGAGGTGATTAATTTTCATGGAGGTGATTAATATATTACAATGCAAGACCTAGATTACAGTTGACAAAAAATTCAGGGTGGATTAAATCATTCTCAAATTAGTATTTTTGATGCTCAGTGCTCACATCACATGCATGGCGGCGTTCCACCATTAACGTATGTGGGTCTCTGAATCTCGGTCCCAAGAAGAAAGATACAAAAAAGTAACAAGTAATTGAGGTTGGTGTGTCAAAAAGCTTAGACAAAACTTTGTTTAACAGAAGAAAAGTATTGGAGAAGTAGCTTTGCTTAATTGGTTTTTTAGAATTTTCATTAACTTTACTAATGTTGATGCTGGATTCTTGCACCAACGAATTTATACGTGTACGACTTTGATTGGCAATTCAATACACATAAAAAGGGGATATCTGAGAATGGAATAAATGCAAGGAGAATTTTTTAAGTGGTTCGGATGCTAAGGTAGCAAATCCTACGTCCACTGATTTGTATTGAAATTAGTAGGTGTCAGGTCGCGGTCGCGAGCTGACTTACATCAGACGAAAAAGTCAAAAGAGAAAGTTACAAGAGAGAGAATGATTTCTATTGCCTCCTTGTAAAAAATGGTCGAATCCCCTTAATGAAGGGGTCTTCCCTATTTTATACTGAATCCGAAGTGTATAATCATCACTAAATCCGTGGTTTGGTGTGATTGTCAGTAGATAAATCTGGCTTTATGTCCCATTTCTCTTTTTCCCAGCTGACAGCGCACGACTTGTTGCAGGAGAATGGACGCGTGTGGGCTCCACATCACTTGGCAGGTATGACGTGCGCATGCTGCTCTGACGGGAGCAGGACGCCCATCACGTGACTTTCCCACGTCAGCCCTTTGTTTCCTTGGTCATAACAACTAAATATAAATTTGTTTGCACAATAAGTCTCCACGGTCAACCAATTATTCTCAGTAATGGTCATCATGTCCTGTGAATAGAAACTAAAGAGAGTTTGATTGAGAATAAAGTTATAAATAGAACAATTATATAAGAACAAACCATGAAACACGTTTTGGACAATTATGTNAAAAAAAAAAAAAAACTCAATTTTAACATAATTTTGAAATCATATATTATCTTTAGAAAAGTTTGTAAAATCCATCCTTTCTTTCAAATCAAGAGCATAACATGTGCTAAATTAACTTCCGGAATTAACAAATTAATACTAATAATAGCATAACATGCACCCATGCAAGGACATTTATTTCATACTTGTTATCTTACTTATACTAAGTTGACGATAATAATACTCGAAGCATATCAATATTAACCAGTTCTAGCTTTAACCTTCACTTCAATTTTGGAATGCTCCGAAATATTGTAAGCAGACAGAGTTAAATGATCTTTCATTTCCATGGGTAAACCACAGAAGAGGGTTGTATTCTCAATTGGAATCCCCCAGTGCCTTGCAATTTCAGCCCTCAAATCAGCAACTACTCTTGTTTCGTCCACCATGATATGAGTCTGTTCAGTGCCGAACTTCACCAAAATGTTGAATTTTGTTTTTCCAGTTGGTGCGATATCAAGAGCAAGTGTTGGAGATTGTCCAAACTCATAATCACCAATAATCTGATGGTCCATTAACTCTTCACCGTTAAACATCAGTGTTTGCCTCTCTATATCCACATTCATAAGCATTTTAAGCTGGCTCTTCAGATCAGAAATGGTTGCCGAAGCTTGCATTGCGATATCAGTGGTGAACCCTCCACCGATGATCTTAAGTAGCACAGTTTTGTTCATGTTAAAATCTCTCAAAAATGGTATTGACCTAATATCTTTCTAACTATTTTCTTTTACAAGCGTCAGGGCTTATAAAGTGAGAGTTCTGCTTCAACACATGCCCAAACTGAAACAAACAAATGCATGTTATCTTCATTCCACATACATTTCTATCTATCCATGCTTTGGCATGCATTTAGAGGATCCAAATACTTGATGAGTTTACCTACCACGCAATATATTTCAAATGTTAGAATTTTCATTTATCTCTAACAGCACTTGAAGAAATATTAATTAAATTTTTTATAACCAATTCGATTTTACCATTAAATATTAACTTAATTTGTTATTTTGTAGACACTAGCAAAATTTTCAATTATCTCCTGGGTTAGATTTCTTCTCATGATTTTCCAGCCATGGATTTCAAGTTTTAAATTTGTTATCATTCGTAGTCAATGTTTAATGTAGCATGCCAAATTCCAATAGTTCTGTGCTTACAATTGAGTACAAAGCGCTCCATTGTTTTGTGGTTTTTACTCCGCTCTAGGTTATAAATTATGGTAATATTACATTTGTAATTTAATCTCACAAACTTTTTCACACAATCTCAACGTGACAGTTCGTCAATGATTTCTAATGAATTTTCCTGTCTAATTAATTACAAACTGACCAATTTGTTAGAAAGAGTTTGTGAGATTAGATTTTGAGTCAATATTTATTAATTATTGTATATATTATATCAAAGTCTTTAATTAATAACATATATAATAACGGTAGAATTCAAATGCAAAATCTTTAAAAGTATAGGGTGATTTCGATTCGGTTTTAATTATTTTGAAGTTATTAATATTTCCTCCTAAAGGTTCCACTAATCATGCACAAATTTCTTCCTTCTAAATTATATGATTATCGTTTGATTAGCTGCTACATACTAATATTATTATAAATTCTTTCTTTTTCCTTTTCTATTGAACACTTGTTGAACCTTTTAATAATAGGAAACTTGCTTCTACTAAAACTATATATTATAAATTCTATATTCCTAATACTTTTAAATTAAACATTTCTTAAACCTTTTAACCATTGGAAACCTAAATCAAATCCATTTATGTTTATGACATTCATTAATATCTATATAAATACAGCTACCCTTTAGTATTTTCTCATTATCTCAAACTTGTTTCTATTTCTCTTTATAAGTTTCTTCTTAAGTTCTCTATATGGCTTCCAATTTTAGCATCACTTATAGCTATGAAATACATAAAGTCAACGAAATATTATTGGGAGACGGTGACTACTTCACCTCACCAGACGCTCTAAACAAGTTTCGTCAGGCCATGCCAGACGTCGACAATTACTTTGACTTATCATTTGTCCAACTTGTTGACTCTTTCATACAGAATATCTTCTACAAGAATATTGAACCTCCCGTCTTACTTTGCCGCAAGAGAGAATTCGAATCAGATAACTCATTCTCACTCTCCAAAATTGAAGCCCTGGAGGACCAAAAAAGCAGATTGCAACATGACATTACCAACTCTGTCAAGGCTGCCCTCATGGATGCCAAAGAACCGTGAAAATATTCAAATGCGAGTGATTTTGAAGGTTCGCAAGGTGGAAAAAATGCACCGTGAAAGGGAAAATGAGGAATCTGATTGTGCCATCTGCATCGAACCGTTGAAGGAGGAGGATGGCAGCGTTAAACTCCTTCCATGTCTTCATCTTTTCCATCAAAATTGCTATCGAAAGTGGTGGTGGAAGAGTCGTTTCTGTCCGTTATGTCGTTCCCCATTGCCTGTTAATTAATTTATTTAATCATTTGAAATTTATGTAAAGTAACTTTCAATTATTTATTAATATAATTTTGTTTCGATTTATGATATTATTTAATCTTTTCATCAATTTTCTGCCATCATATGTATAGAGTTAAAGCAGCTACTTTTAAGTTTCTATTTATTTATTTATTTATTTTCAACTAGAAGACAATATTTAATCTAATTCAAATAATATGTAAAAATAGTTAATAGTTTAGAAAACCAGTTGAACAAATTTGTAAGCCAAGAAATGAAACTATCCAGCAAATAAATCAATATGTTTCTTTCGATTTTTTTTTGGCTAAATTTTTCTTTCGAAAATCATTCTTGCATGGCTTTCTGTTTCCAGTTAACCAAACACAAACTGAATTACTCAACCTAAAAGTTTCCCATTTGGTTTCTTTTCGAGGAAAGTAAAAGAAAACAATACAGAACAAACTTTTAAATCCCGCAAACTAAAATACTACTGTTATTCCTAATCAAATGCTGTAAATTTTAAGAACCCTATTAACAAAAGGAAACTAAATCCTTTTATGTTCAGGACGATACGAATCATCTATATATACACTGTCTATGTTCTCTATTTTCACTCAACTAGTTTATTTCTTCCTCTTTCTTAAGTTTCTATAAAGTCTGCTTGTATGAGTAAAAAATCACCTTGGACCTTATTAGGCCCATGTAGGTATTTTCTACTACATGGGCCCAAGGCCACAGCCTAATTCTGGTTGGGGCCAGTATCAGAATTCATGGCATGGGTAAAAACAAATGGCTCAAATCCAATCTCTCTCCAAAATGGGCATCATGGGTAGCCCACCTAAGGTCAGACCTTCTAGACTAAGGTAATTAGGACTTTTCCTATTTGGGTTTCATCCTAATTTGCCCAAGATTCTGTATCTTCGATGAATTAGGACTCTTAGTACTAATGAGGCAAGTGAACCAGGATCTTTCCTATTCACTAAACGTCTACCATTATGGATTTAAAGATACGAAGACAACTGCTATATAATGAGGGGTTACTCCTCTGTTTAGGCATTCAATCTCAATAGCACCTACTTTAGACCCAAACTCTTATTCCTAAGAGTTAGACACCCATGCTGTACTTTTGATAACCCTTCCTTCCCTTAGCCTTCACTAAATTGTCTCATTCAACCTTATTGATTTGAGCGTCGGAGTGCCTATGGCAGACACTACCAGACACCACATCAGTGTTTACATAAGCTTCGAGCTTATTTGCTTTATGTGTAGGTACAATAGATTGTCAATGGCCTCAACCTTACAGGATCCATCATTCTTTCCGTAACCGTAGATTTTAGCATCTACACCGTTTCTTTCTCTTTTCTAAGCTCTCTCAATCAATGGCTTCCAATTCCAACATTGTTTACCGTTACCAGCTACATGAAGTTCATGATAAGGAAACATTATTGAATGATTCTGACCATTTCATTTCACCATATGCTTTCTACAAATTTCGCCATGCCATTCTTGACGTCAACAACAACTCCGACACATCAATTGATCATCTTATTTCCTCTTCCGTACAAAACATCTTCTACAAGAATATTGAACCCCCCATCATACTTGGTCGCGAGAAAGAATTTGAATCAGAAAACTCTTTCTTGCTTTCTAAAGTTGAACCGCCAGAGGACCTAAAACGCGAGCTGCAACTTGACATTATTGACTTTGTCCAGGTAGATGCTAATAGGCAAAACCGCCGAATTATTCAAACCCGTGTGATTTTGAATGTTCGAAAAAGGCAGGAAAAAAGAGATGGACGTGAAGGGACTGAGAAACGTGATTGTGTGATTTGTATAGATCCATTGAAGGAAGAGGATGGCAATGTTAATTATAAACTCCTCCCCTGTGGGCATTATTTTCACAAAGAATGCTATTATAAGTGGTGGTGGAAGAGTCGTTTTTGTCCAATGTGCCGCTCCAGGATACCTGTTAATTTATTTGTATAATTTTTTTCTTTTCTCCAATTACTTGTTTGTAAGGTTTTGGTTTAGGTATATAACTATTCGAAACTTCTTCTAGAATATAATATGAGTTTTTATTTTAATTATAAATTAGGATATTCCATTTTCTAACAATAGTTTTTGATCTTCTCAATTTGATTATTATTTCTAATGTATATATTATACTCTAAGGCCGAAATCTTTTAATTTCAAGTTTTAACTGAGCACATTCCACGGGACAATTAAACACACCACATACACTCACAAACAAGCATAGCGCAAACCCTGTCAGGATTGGGATACATCACTCGCGCTAAACAAACTTTCTTCTCCAATAAACTCCTACTACACCTACATCACTTAAGTTGCAGGGTTCACCCTAAAGAGAGGCTGTTACTGACATTTGAAAGGCCGCCCTGGAGGAATTGGAGACTTTGAGAATTGAGGGATTTTTAACTGAAAAAGAAGTGTTATATGGTTTGTAAAGTTGAAGTGTGAAGAGAAGAATAGGGGAATACCGTGTCATAGATGAAGTTCCCCACTCCAACGGGGATCGGAGAAGAAGCGGGTCGCAAAGCGCATCTGCGAATGCTACGTAAAAGCGGTACAGATGGCAGATAAGGGCATTTCGCGATGTGTGCCCCGCCAGGCTATGACGATCAGCTGGATCGAGCCACAGCCCGGTCGGGAGGATAACAAGATCGCGAATCCAAGAGATCCCCCCCAGCGGCCCGGTTGGGATCTGTCCGAGGTTTCGGTCGATCCGAAAGAGCCGAGCAGCGTGTAAGGATTGGAAGCTATCTCAACCCACAGCTGCTTCCGAGCTGGAAGCTTCTTAAAGGAGAACATGACGTGTTTGTGGGTCATACGCAGATATGGTCGGGATCAGCCGCGACATTATTTGCCATTCATTGAATGTCAGCAGTGAAGCCAAGCCAGTTCGACAAAAAGAAAGGGTGATGGATCCGGAGTCGTCGCGCACTAAAATCAGAGGTGGAGAACCTTCTCGGAATGGATCCATTCGCGAGGCTCTCTACTCGACCTGGGTTGCCAACCCGGTCCTGGTAAAGAAGCCGAATGGCAAGGGCGGACCTGCGTAGACTTCAGCGACCTCAAAAAGCTTGCCCGAAAGACAGCTTCCCCTGCCGAGAATCGATCAGCTCGTTGATGCCACCTCGGGGCACGAGCTGTTGAGCTTCATGGATGCGTACTCCGGATACAATCAAATCCTGATGTACAGACCGGATGAGGAGCATACGACCTTCATTACAGACCGGGGGTATACTGTTACAAAGTCATGCCTTCGGCTCAAGAAGTGGGTGCGACTATCAAAGGTTGGTCAAAGGATGTTTCTCCGACCAGATCGGGAGGACAATGGAGGTCTATGTGGACGACATGCTGGTCAAATCCCAGGTCGCCTAGAACATATTGCGCATCTCGCAGAGATGTTGACATACTCCGACTCTACAGATGAAGCTGAACCCTCTTAAAGTTTGTCAGGGTATGTCAGGAAAGTCCTGGGATATATGGTCAATCAGTGGGGCATAGAAATGAACCCCGAAAAGATTCAAGCACTGCTCGATATGAAGAGCCCGACCAGCAAAAAGCAGGTATGAGCCTGAACGGGCAGATAGCGGCACTTAGTCGCTTCATATCAGGCTAACAGACGCTGTTTACCATTCTTCAATGTTCTGAAGGCAATAAGAAATTCGAGTGCTCCCGAATGCGAGCAGGCATTCCAGAGTATAAAGAAAACACTTGGGAAGCCACCTCTCCTCTCTAAGCCTCTTCCACAGGAAATCCTGTCATCTACCTGTCCGTCTCCCAGTTCGCGGTCAGTTAGCTTTAATACGGGAAGAGGAAAGGGTTCAATGGCCAATATATTATGAAGTAAGCATTTGTCGGATGCCGAGATGGGGTATCCGGAAATGGAGCGACTAGCTTTTGCTCTACTGATCGCGGTCCAGAAAGCTGCAACCTTACTTCCATGCCTACAATCAATGTGATGACAAATTACCCCCTCAGGCAGGTCCTTCAGAAACAGAAGCCTGGGTAAACTCCTAAATGGGCCATGGAATTGAGTCAGTTCGACTAAAGTACAGCCAGGTCGACCATTAGGGCGGCTGTTGCGACTTCATTTCAGAATTTTCATCTCCAAGCGAGCAACAGCCTAGCGAAGCCGCCCAAGAAAGTATTCAGAACCTGTCGACTTGGAACCTTTACGTGACGGGTCATCAAACAGGAAAAGAGCCGGTGCGGGTCTTCTCCTTGTGAGCCCCGAGGGGCACCGAATTCATGGTATTCTCTGATCGGGTTTAAAGGACCAACAATGAGGCCGAGTACGAAGCTCTGCTCACCGGGTTGCGACTTGTCAAAGAAATGGGTGCAACCACGATCAACATTTACAGGACTCTATGCTGGTCGTCAACCAAATTCTAGGGGAAACCAAGCCCAGGAAGAGAACATAGTCCGCTACTTGAAAGAGGCTAAGACCGCACTGGGGACGTTTAAGCACTTTGAAATCACTCAGATCCCCAGAGACAACAATTCTATAGCGGACGCCTTGGCAAAGATAGCCTCCTCGCTGGATTCAGAGGCTCCGGACAACATTCCTGTTCGTTTCGTCGGTGCTCCGACTATCAGCTCGACCGGACAGGCCGTAAATGTGGTCAACCGGATTCTGGATGAACCATTATCCAGTACCTTAAGGATGGGACCTTGCCAAACCACAAGGTCGAGGCAAGGATCTGCGAGTAAGATCTGCTGTTCACACTTATCGGGACCAGCTGTACAGAAGAGGATTCAATGCCCCTTCCTCCGATGTGTAACCAGTGAAGAAGCAGATACATCATGAGGGAAATCCATGAAGGGATCTGCGGTAACCACACAGCTGCTCGATCCCTTGCGACAAGGTTGTTCGTCAGGGATATTATTGGCCTCGAATCCAGGAAGATACGCACAACTTCGTTAGAAAATGTGATAAGTGCCAGCGGTTCGCGAACATTTCGCGAGCCCCCTCGAGAACTGACTACAATGTCCAGCCCCTGGCCGTTTTCCATGTGGGGGATCGACCTTATCGGTCCCATGCCAGTTGGAAAGGGAGGGGTCAAGTATGCCGTGGTCGCGGTCGATTATTTCACAAAATGGGTAGAAGGAACCTCTGGCCTCGATCACGACCAGAAAGCTTAAGACTTCGTTTTCAAGAACATAGTGTGCCGCTACGGAATTCCCTACACCCTCATCTCGGACAATGGAAAGCAGTTCGACAACGAGGAGTCAAACAGTTCTGCGACGAGCTGGGCATCCAAAATTCGCTTCAGTCGCTAGACCGCAAGCAAATGGCCAAGTTCAAGTATCAACAAGACCATCAAGCACACTCTAAAGGCCAAATGGGGCAGCCAAGGGGAATTGGGCTGATGACCTCCCGAGGTTTATGGGCGTACAGGACAACTCCAAGAACTCCACCTCAGAGACCCCTTTTCGCTGATTGGTTGCGAAGCGATGATTCCTGTAGGGTGGGAACCGGTTCACTTCGGAGGGACTGTACGATGAGGTTGAAAACGAGCACTTATGAGGGCAAGTTTGGACCGTTGAAGAACGTCGAAGCAAGGCTTCGCTAAGGATAGCACGCCTACCAGCAGCGAGCAAAGAGGTTTTTTGATCAAAGGTCAAGCGAAGAGACTCCAGGTCGGTGACCTTGTGTTAAAGGAAGTTCTTCCGGAACCAGGAAACCAAGTGCGGGGGTTTAGGACCTAACTGGAAGGGTCCATATCGGGTCGTAAGGTGATCAGACCAGTGACTTATCATCTCAAGACTGAATGGTTCCAAAGTGCCCCGAGCTTGGAATGCCGAGCACCTTCGACCCTACTATCAGTAATCCCGAACTCATTCCTTGTTATAAGTTAGTTCGTTCTTGTTAAGTTCCCTGTATTTGTAAAGCATTATCTTGTTCGCTTAGCGGTTCGAGCTTACCTGTTCGCTTGTAATACACAAATGGCATTGCCTATGTATTTGAACTAAAATTGCGAACAAGTAACATATGTAGAAAAGCGAGTGTAATTAAAAAACAAAATGTATTTCCATTGTATGTACAAGCAAAAATTAAGCCACTTCCATGGAGCAAGGCCTATTACACTACGGCTGGTCGGGGGATCCTTCGAAGCAGAACCCGAACCCTGCTGCTGGACCCTTTGGCGGCCGCCGCTGCTGTGCTTCGTCCTCCTCTGCAAGAGCCGCAAGGTCTTTGCCAACTGGTGGGAGGACGGACACGTCAGACCGGGTTCATTGGTCGCAGTGTTAAAGGCCCGACGTCGCAGTCGGCGGCCTTTTCCTCGTTTCCTCCAACGAACCCGCACTTCCTCAGTCAGCAAAGCGACCTTTTCCTGACTCTCTTGGAGGTCGGCCTCGAGAGCTCGCCTCTCTGTTCGGAGGCCCCCCTTTCTTGCTGGCCTTCTGGGCCCATTTGGAGGTCGTTTGAATCACCTGATCCTTCTCCCGACCCTTTGGAGAGCCGGCGGTGTCCTTGCAGCACCTCGTCGGCGTCTGTCAGCTCCTTCACTTCTCCCGCGAGCTCATCCGCCTTCTGGAGTCCATGGTTCGCAAAGGGCATCCTTTGCATCAGGTACCTGTTCGCCGCATCGAATGCCCCTTCCTTTCAGCTTCGGCAGACTCCAGGCTTTTCTTAAGCTTGCGATTCCTCTTGATCGCTAGACTCCTTTGCGACCCCAGCGGGTCTTCTCATAGACCTCCTCATCGCAAGCAAAGCCTGCGAGCAAGAATGTGATAAAAAATAAGAACAGTTTTTAGAGTAGCCCGCTCACCTTAATTAGATGCAACTGCCTTACCTTGCCAAGAAGTGGAAAGACGTGGTCAACAGGTCATCGCCCGTGTCAGCGAACTCATCGTAAGACTCCGATAGTACACTCGAGCAGAGAATAGACTATTGGTTGCAGATACTCGGGCAGGCCCCAGTGAGTCGAGATGGTGAATCCTTTGCGATGCCTCGC